AATATTTATGAGAATAAAATGAAATACAAAATCTTGTTCTATTTTCTGCTGAGAAATGTCAGCCTGATTCTTGATCTGTTCTTTTTCTCTTAGAGTTTTGTAAAATTTCCTTTTGTCTTTGATACTCTTGAGTTTCTCTATAATGTATTTAAATGTGATGAGTTCTCCCCACCTTATCTGTCTTCTTTGTCAGGCTTTGAGCCCTTTCACTGAGTTTTTAAATCTTTAACTCAGTGCATTTCTTGGTCATTAATTCTTTAAATATTTCATTCCTCTGTTCCTTTTTTTCCATCTCCTTCTGGGACTCCAATCATACATATAGTTACCCTTTTATTTCTATATGCCACATTGCTTTGCTTTGCTTTTACATTCCCCATCTCTTTATTACTTCCTCACACCTTCTGCGAGAGTCCCTTGAGCTGACCCTCCAGTCATTAATTCCTCATCAGCAGCTGCATCCATTCTGCCACTTACTCCAAAAATTATTTTATTTCACCTAATTTAAGAAATGAATATTTTAAAAGCCAAAGGGTAATCAGACAATCAGACTTTTCCTCACCCCAGGGCCTGCCAGTTAGGGCAGGTGTGTGACCTAGAATCAGCCAACCAGAGGTTCCCACCTAGGACTTTGGATCTTGGATCTATGAGTCAAAGAGACCCATTCACGAAGGCAGTATCAGTGTTAAGAATACAATGCTGACAGCTGAAATGTGAGTGGTGGTACCAGCATCAGGTCCCTATAGTATGATTCCGCTGTGTTCTCAGTTGTTTAATCCCTCTTGGTTCCAATGCTGAGGCCGATTCTCCATCCTTCCCACAAGTTTTGAGACAACAAATTTCCTTCCAATAAATTTATTTTCTCCTTAAGTCATATGAAGTTGGATAATACTGTTCACGACTGATACAATAGGTAACAGAATTTGGGATGTGGGAGAAGTGAAAAAAAGTTGAAATGCTTATTTCTTCTTCTACATAATTAAAACTCTGTAGATACTATTTTAAGTAATGGTTCAAAAAAAATAGAGTTGAAAACATATTATTCATAATTTTAAAATTAATGACCAGAAAAATGACAAATAAAATAAAACTAATCAAATTTAAGAGAGGGAAATGGATTCGGGGTTAAATGACATAATCTCCAAACCTTGAATGGGATTGAAAAAAGCTACAGTTCAAAATTTGATAAAGGAAGTAAGAAAGGCAAAAATCTTACTATTTAGAGTTGTAAATATAACCACTAGAAAAACTAAAACAAATGATAAAATATAATTCTATCTGGGCAGTGGGACTAATAATGGGGAGTGGAATGGAAAATGTCGCTGTTCATTACCTACCTTTCTGTACTGTTTGAACCATTTTTAGCCATGCTCATATATCACATTTTTAACATTTCAAATCCCCTCCTAGTCTGCACTTCCACAGAACATACTACATAATTGAATGAAAAGCTAGGCTGGGCACGGTAGCTCACGCCTGTAATCCTAGCACTTTGGGAGGCCGAGGTGGGTGGATCGTTTGAGCTCAGGAGTTTGAGACCAGCCTGAGCAAGAGCGAGACCCCGTCTCTACTAAAAATAGAAAGAAATTAGCTGGACAACTAAAAAATATATAGAAAAAATTAGCCAGCCATGGTGGCACATGCCTGTAATCCCAGCTACTCAGGAGGCTGAGGCAGGAGGATCGCTTGAGCCCAGGAGTCTGAGGTTGCTGTGAGCTAGGCTGATGCCACGGCACTCTACTCAGGGCAGTAGAGTGAGACTCTGTCTAAAAACAAAAAAAAAAAATGAAAAGCTATTAATATCTAAATACACACACATACACACACACACATACACATTCATGCATATGAACCCAGCTGCAATTCTGAGAATGCAAATTATAAAAGATTTAATTACATAGGCATCAATTCAAGAGCACAGATTTGCCTCCAGATTTGTTTTCCTGGCTAAAACACAAAGCAGACTCATACTTATCATCAGCAGAATCATGCACAGAAAAAGAAGGAAATCAAATTTCAAAAGGTGACTTGGAAAATGAAAGATTTTTTCCCAGCTTTACTGAGGTATAACTGGCAAATAAAATTGTATATATTTACAGTGTATAACATGTTTTGATATATGTATATATTGTAAAATTATTACCACATATAGTTAACATATTACCACATAGTTAACATATCTATCACCTCACAGTTATCACTTTTTTCGTAGTGAGAACATTTAAGATTTACTCTCTTCGCAAATTTCAAGTATATTATATAGTATTATTAACTATAGTCAGTATGCTGTGCATTAGATCCCCAGAATTTATTCACCCTGCCTAACTGAAACTTCGTACCCTTTGATAAACGTCTCCCCATTTCCCCCACTTCCTAGCCTCTGGCAACCACCATCCTACTCTGTGCTTCCACGAGTTTGACTTTTTAAAATTCCTCTTCTCAGTGAGATCATGTATTATTTATTTTTCTTTCTGTACCTGGCTTGTTACACTTAGCATAATGTCCTCCATTTTCATCCATGTTTTTGCAGATGACAAGATTTTCTTCTTTTTTTATTTTTTCCTAGCTACCTCCTGAAGGTAAGGATTTCCTTCTTTTTAAAAGCCAAATAATATTCCATTGAATATACGTACTACATTTTCTTTATCTGTTCATGCATTGATGGACACTTAGGTTGATTCCATATTTGGCTATTGCTTTGTTCCTAAGAAAAGCAGGTCATGGAAAATGCAATCTGCTGTGATTTTGGATCTTAGCACCCAGGCATCCCACCAATACCAAATGTGAAAGATTAGTTGCTTATTTCATCTGTTTAAAAGTACTGAAAAACTTGAGCATTCCACAGGCTAATCCTATTAGTATGAAGTCTTATTAGTATTAGCAATGAGATACTTAAAGTTTAGTGGAAAGAGCACAAGATTTGGAGTCAAAAATTCTGAGACTATTCCATCTACATCAGTTACTAGTTGATGATCTTGTGCAAATCATCACTTCGGCCTGAGTTTTGTCACCTGAAAAATGGGGATAAAATTACTAACTGCATAGAATTGCTATTAAAAATGGACTATATTTAAGGTAGCCTGATAAAATGTAAAGCCCAATACACATGTTAAGTACTGTTACCATTACAATTGGTAACAAAGGTCATCTGTAAAAAAAAAAGAAAAGAAATAGCATAATGAGAATCCATCCTACCACTAAAAATATAAGCAAGAAGAAGCACCTTTCTATTTTAAAAGAATGGATATTATTATGCCCAGAACACGAAAGATCCTACTTGACCTCACACAACTCACAGTGACACTCATGGAGTCAGTCTCCCCCTGAATGATGACTAACATGTGCCTACTATGTACCTCAATTCACAGCTTTGGGTAAGAAAAAGATACATGTTTCGGAGAATAGATTAATGAAAATAGATTAATGAAAACAGTCAATAAGAAGTGAAAAAATGTTTAAGTACATCAAGTATCATCCTTTTTATTCCAGATCCCCCAAAATTGAACCAAAAGAAACGTGTTCAAACAAGGCTTGGCCAGGCG